TACATCGGTGGTGGGTATGAAACATTTTATAGTTTTTATCAGCTCTCAGCGCGATGGCAACACCTCAGATGCAAGCAGAAGGCATTTTGTGTAGCTGGATATGCGTCGTTCAGGTGCCCGGTGGAGAGAGGGGGCACATTGGACATTATTATAGAGAGGTGTTATACGTCCAAAAAAACTCCTAAATCTCTTGTTTACATTGGTTGGTGATTGATTCTTGTAAAGCAACGTATACTTTTTTGAGAATATGGTTTTCGAAATTCCTCTTATATATATATATATATATATTGCAAGCACACTGTATAATATTATAGTAATTTATTATCTTTTCCATGCTTGTGACGGAGTAATCGTCGCGTGTACGATGTGGTCACACGAACTGCGAGAGCGTGACGATATTACGACTAATATTTTACATCATGTGTATAGGGCATAGGCAAACCCCCCTGGTACCATTGTAGTATAATTTGCTCTTCTCGACGTATCAATGTCGCCGTCGTATATACTCGGAATCCCGCGGGATCGTGTCCTATGTCACCCGAACGACTCTGTAAGTCCGCATGTCATCATAATATCGTAATTCAATAACCGTTACAAACATTTGTGTTTGCAAGTATTTTAATTATTGTCCTGTTGATCTCTCGTTTCGAACGAAGTCGTCAACGACGACTCACGACAGTGAAGTGTTCGTTGTGCGCTGCAGAGTTCGCGTCGTGATATACGATACCTATAATATATATATATGTATATATTTGTATTATTAATGATAAGGCTTCAACATCTTAAGTTATTATACTACAATTTTAATAATGTAAACAGAAATAAAATTTAAAAATATTTWCTATTTATGATTTAAGTGTACGAATGGAAACATTTAAAAATTGMTTCGGTGTTTTCTTCGCCTAGAGCAAGTCGGAGGAAAGTTGTGTTTTTAAAAATTGTCCGAGCTTCCGTGTATTTTGGCATCTAGTGATAATGTGGTCGATCGATAGGTTTACGTTGCATGTGTTGCATACCGTAGCTGGTTCCTTGGTAATGAGGAAGGAGTGGGTGAGGTGAGTGTAGCCTATTCTGGCTCGGGTTATAATGACCTCATATAATATGTTATTAAAAGGTAGATTGTGTACTACATTCGTATCTAAACACGGTGATGGTGCAGTATCTTCGTGAATCGGGTCTCCATCAGTATCCGACAAGCGTGATGCATTTCATTTGCGCTGATTACTTTATTTTGATCCCGAAATTTGACAAATGATGAGTCCGATATAGCTGTGCCGGGTTGAATAGTAGGGTGGTACGGCGTTTTATTGATATAAGTTTACTATTACCATCGTTAAGCGCCACGATACGTCTTGGTTATGCACTAATTAGTAAGTTATTAGCCATAATTATATTATGTTAATGATGCAAATGGATATAACATTATGTTTTGTTTATCGCATATACGAAGACGATGTACCTATACAATAATATTGCCGGAAGGGCATACAGCCGTACAAGCCGGTTTCTAGCGGTATACTTTTTTAGRATGATTATATTCACACTATTCACATGAGGGTGTATGGTGCATATATATAAAATAGTATGATAAATATAGACTTCGCTCGCTGTATTTGAATGGTTATAAATAACGCTATACTGTYAGTATTTTCATTATTATTGTTGTTACCGAGTTGTTATTATTATTACCTCTCTTGTCTTTCTTAAAATTATACTCAATGGTACCTATATTTGTTTTTACAGTTTGTCGGTCCTGTATCGTCAAGTACTTGGACACCAKTCGATTCTGCCCAATATGCGACGTCCAACTACACAAGACCCGTCCGCTATTGAGCATCAGGTATGAAACTTAATCGTTATTGTGTATCTATATYTATTTGTACCGCTGTGGTTTTAAAATATATAATAACGTGGTTGGTGTTTGCAGACGGGACAAGATATTGGAACGACTAGTGTACAAAATCGTGCCCGGGCTACATGCCAAAGAGATGGCCCGCAGGGCCTTACCGAACGTTGAATTGTATTTATCGCCAGACGACCTTGTCAGTCTCGTATTGCAGTATCACATCGAAGACACTAGGTAAATATATTTTTGTACAATAAATAAATCATCATCAAAAAAAAAAAAAAATACATTTAAAACAAAAGTGAATCGAAATATAATTGACGTCATACAGATAATATTCCTAATACGATTTTGTAGAAATTGATTTTAAAYCTTTTACCGTATTATGATTATTATTTACTCAAGTTTTCAATAAATTGTTGACCATGACACCATGTTAAGCCACCGACGATTAGAAGTTGGTTAAACAATTACACTTTTAAGTTGTAATATTTTTCATTCATATGAATGGTTCATAAAAAAAAAGATTGTCGTTATATATAGGTGGTAATGTGGTATACRTAATATACGAGTAGTATACGTTATGTATCGAATCCGATTATTGATCCATTATATCCAAAGCCAATAATCGTATGAATAAAGAATAGAAATGGCTCTGGAGAATAACTGGGGTCGGTCTGATAATTTGACGTCTGTCAAAAACAATAAAATATGTGGCTCAGGACATTTTCTCTAATAGACATGACTGCTGTGAAAAATAACGATTGCCGCCCACGTCTGTTCGCGTTAGTAGGTACTGGAGGACTTTCACCGCGACGTGGTTTTGTGGTGCAGTTGTAATTAAATATATTATATTACGGCATTATGCGCATTTTGTAGTCTAGTGTATAGACATAGTGCTGGGCTTATGTATTTCGGATGGCCGTAAATTTTGATTTATACCTGACTTACAAAATTAAGAACAATCATTTTAATCGAAAACTTTGAATCAAACAAAAATAATTACCATGGTTATATAAGACTATAAAAAATACATTTTTATCCTATTAAAAATATTATTTATACTGCAGATGACATACGTTTTCTTTATATTCCTTCGTTTATGCTTTATAGTTAATAATACTAATATAATTATATTTACAGTTGGAAGTCTTGGAACTATGAACTATTGATAGAATAATTCATTTATTTTTACGTTGTATAATAATATGCAACATTACGGAGAAACTATCGTAATTATGCATAATAGTAAATTGTTGTGACTTTATTTTTTATCGAGTGCGGTCAACCATCAATATTTCGAGTGTCCATTTTAGTTTCTTAACATCCATTAAATATTAAACAATATTATGTGCGATTTGTATATGAAAATATAATCACGGTATCGTYAAATATTTATATTTTTTGTAAGGATATAAAATACAAATATTTCCATACATTTGATTTTTATAACTACAACATAAAAAAATCTAGATTTAGTATAATAACAGTACCTATATCTGATGTTTAATGAGGAAAAATAATTATCGTTAACACGTGAACAGATCTGATACAAGTTGGATCCATAGTCCATAATGGTATTTAAGTATATTTTCTTATGCTTTACTCTCTCGGCATTTAAATTTATATTTATATTATATTGACGGAAAATATATTGTTTTCATTTCAAATTTTATTGTAAAAACATACTTACGACATAAATGCGTAGTACATGATTTCATCCGCTTTGCTAAACATATATTCTATTATAAATAAAATGCATAAACAAGTTTATGGCTATATCGTCATGCAGTATTGTATTKCAATGACAGATCTTTATGAGTTCAAACGTCGAACAATAACGCGACGAATAGAAAATATTATTAAATACCACTCATTATATATCATCTATATATTCATTTTATATATTGCATTATCATAATATTTATATTCACCCCGTCGCTCTTCTTCTATCGCGTACCATATCCCTTCACTATTGATTATAGTATAAATAATTTTGCGGACAGTATATTATGTATGTGGTGTGTGGCTAGATTTTATTTTGAGCTGGATTCTATCAAACACTGATTGTGGATGTTGAACTCATGTATGTACCCCTTCTAACCTAATCTCAATCACTTGATTTAAACATATAATTATTTATACTCAATTTATTTGATTTGAATTTTTGTTATACATTTTTGTGTTATTTTGAAACAAAAACCAATTAATCAATAAATTTTGATATAACAATGAACAGTTGATCTGATATTTCGACTGTAATGTTTSTAATTTTACAGAACAGAATAATCGTACAACTTCGATTTCGAACTTGTTTTATTGTATGATAATTGATTTTTATTCGGTACCTATATATAAGTTCAAAAGGTATTTTAGTTTTTGTGCATATATTATCCATYATTCGCTTGTCCAACTACCGCGGGACTTTAGAAAACATTATTTTTTTTTGTAATTATTTCACACTGTTTTTGGATTTTTGATACAACAGATGTCCAGTGTTATGTCTTGTCTTATGAAATATTACAGGATATTTGTTTGGAACAACAATAATACYGGTGCATAATTAATTCGTGAGGATTTTCAAATTTTGTATATGATGTGACCGTTTCTGTTATTGACTATTGATGAACATAAACAAAAACAACAAAAATGAAGAAACACATTATTGAAAAAAAAAAATACATGTTGGTAAAGGGTCCTTATTTATGCTCATTCGTACTGTGACCGCAAAGTATAGGAAACACAAAGGAGGGGAAAAACGTAAGCAAACCGCGTGCACTGTCAAACGGAGCGTGTCATGAGTGAATCGGTGCCCACAACAAACCTCATATATACGTATATAATATCCATAATAAACATAATTTACAACAATAAACGGTTTTCTCGCGCTGGTCGAGGGTCAAGTGGCGCGTGACTTGTATAGGGATGTTTATGTTTTTTCTGCAGTTCATGCAATAACAAGGGTGTCCATAATTTCCGTCGATATTTCAATTTGCGTGTAGTGAATATTGAAATGGGAAAACTACGATTCCCCACACAAAGGCTGCAGGTGTTGTTGTTCGATCGGAAGTTTTTTTTTAAGCGTTTCTCAGATATGGGTCAGGAATATTTTTGCTGCGAGATTAARTATTGGCAGTTTTAAATTCAGTTATGTTATTATATTGGTACCGATCAACTTTTAATTSTAATACTATAGTCAAAATAATTTTTTTTATCACATTTTTCTATCAATTACTGATAAAGTTAATTACGATTCAGAGTATACAGAGATGTTTGAGACGTTCCCTCTGTTACCTATAATTATTAACACGGAAAAAATATATAGTAGGTACCTATAGGTAAACTTGAATTCTTAAAAGAAAAATAATATATTTTGAATTCAAACGCAAACTTAGGGTTTGCTTCTCCAAATATTGTTCGTTAAATGTCACTGGCCGGCTAATAGTATAGAGATTTTTATTTGTTACGCTTCGACAACTGACTGTATATTGAATCGCGAACGACACGTACTTGGTGTACCGAGGTCGTCGCGTAGTGCGGTGGCCTACAACTAATCAGTAATTGTTGACTTCGTATTATTGTCGTATGAAAATTATTTAGGACATGCGGTTTGCATGTTTTGATGGAATTTATGTTGTATTACTCCACTTGATAAGTTTTGGAAGTTGGCCAGAGTAAAAAGCTAAAATACACAATAGCTAGTAAATTGCCAAATGCCATATTTATATATGATCTATAAATTGTTGATTTTGTTTTAAATTCATCTACTGTGTTTCCATCTTAATATTTCTATGTTATTAACTGTAATTATTTAAAGATTTAGGTATAAAAGATACTTGACAACTATTTTAAATAATTAGGTTGTCGTCGCCATGTTTTTACCTAGGCATAATATGCACGTGTAATTGCAAACATAAAAAATATTGGATATTCAGTAAATAATTGACCAAACATAGTACCTATKTTGAAAAAACTACTAATGAGATTTCTTAATTTTCAAATTAGGTTTTATTAAGTACCTATTAAATAATATATTATTAACTAAATTTTAGTAAATTATTTACYAGACACGCCTTATTTATGGAATATTCATTTATTTATTTCATGGCATATCAAAATCATCTTAGTTTCTGTGAATGATACTGTGTGTCCACACTTCAACGATTTCGAATTTAGATCCCATCATAGTATTTTTGTGTCATATTTTGAATTAAAAATGTGAAAGAAGTATGGTATCGTTATTAAACTCCTACGGATATATTCGTTTTGATTAAAAGTCTTCCAACCCTCTGGGAGCTGTTTTTAAACTCGAACACATCTCCCCTTTGATGGCGATGTCAGCAATTTATGTACCGAGGGGTTAGTGTGCATGTATAAAAAAAAAATATATATATATATATTTTGGACGAAACATATGGGTTTACGTTATTAAACAAATATGTATTTATTCCAAGTGGAACGTTGTGCCAACGTTAGTGATGATAAAGTTTGTAATTTATTGGGTCCAGAACAGTAATTCTGACTCGAGGGGCAGTTAGATAACCTAGATCTAATCAATATATATTTATTTTTTTATTCACCACTACTTTGTTCCTATTAGTTTTCCTTTTTTAATTTAATTATTATTATACATTATCCCATTATCTATATTATCAGTGTAATACCTAAATTGTGTTTTAATTAAAGAAATTCGTAAAAAAAAGTATGTAGTTAGGTATATGTATATGTAGGTATGTTTATATATATGTAGATACGTCACGATGTTACTGAATACTTTGTTCTCTTTTTCTATTGTCACATTTCTACAGATCGATGGGTGAGCAGCTAGCATTATAGTAATTTATACATGTCTTCACGCCTCAACAAGTAATCCTAGTGTTCATACTTTGTGTCTACTTACCTTCTTGTTTGGTTAAATGAAAACTAATCTGTTAATTGTTAAGATATGGAGTAATAACGCGATTGGTATACATAAGTTATTTTTGACAAGAGAAATGAGAAGTTCGTTCGTGCGTAAAAAACCGGACATGCAATAAAAGCAGCGGTCGTGGGTAGTCAACTGAAATCTTCAACCCTAGTCTTGTTATTGATAAGCTCTTGGGTTTTCAGTGTATAAAGTAACCGTTCTAAACCCCCAAGGGATAAATGGCTGATCGTTTGTAACAYTCAAAATTACAGGTTTTGCCCCTCGACATGTCTTGTTTTCAAAACTAAAAACAAATCCATTTTCATTTTTATCTGATTTTTTTTTTTTATTACAGTTCGCAAACATTGGATGTTGAAGAGAACGAAACCAACAATGCAGTGAACCAAAATTTAAAGGTGAATAAATTTAGTTGTTATATAATGCCTTTATTTGGCGAGAATAGTGATTTTTATTATTTTACTTTTTTTCTGATAAGTGCCTTTTGTAAAATACATATTATATTTATTTAACAGGATGCTCATAAAAAGTTCCTCAAATGTCCGGCTGCTGTTACTGTGGAACACCTGAAAAAGTTTTTAATACTGAAATACAACTTAACAGACCAACACCAGGTAATTATTTATACATTTTAAGTGTTTATCTACTCAAAAGTTGTTCAATTTTAAATTGAGAGTACTGAGTAGGTACWTAGTCTACATGTTATTATGTTTATGTATACTATACTCTTCCAAATGTGACACGTAAGGATACAAATTATCTATTCACATTATAGACATAGACGTTGTAATTTATCATTAGATAAACAACGACCATGTATTATGTTTAATCACTAATATGTATGATATTACTGTAATTAATCAAATTTAAGCATAACAAATTAAAATTTTCAATTTTCCGTGAAATAATGCTATATAACGGATATTTCTTAGTAAAAAAATCTCAACAAAATACAGCGTATATTTTAGAATCATTTGTGCCACCTAAATACTTAATTTTTTTAAATTTATAAACATTTATTTATAATACAATTTGGAAAATAGTGAGCATATTTTAATTTTTTACAACAACTTAAATTTTAATTAGCTTATGCTCTTGTGTGGGYGATAACAAATCATGTAAATAAATTCTTGAGTGTTATACAAGTTTATGTATGTTTGTAGTTAAATTTTGAAATTTGTTTAATTCATGTTACAGGTGGACATTTTTCATGCTTCTGAAAATTTGTCCGATGATTTATCCTTAATAGACATTGCTTACTGCTTCGAATGGAAACAGGTAACATAGTTATTTTATATATTTTGTATTAAAACATTTAATTTAGTTCCGAGTTATGTCGGTTTGATTTTTCAATATTAGATTCCATAGTTTTTTTTATTTATTTTCAGACCTCACCAATGGAATTATATTTCCAAATCCTAGAAAAATCTACCATTGCTGTTCCAATCACAGATGAAGTAGAGTTGGTCGAGGAAGTTGATATGGACGAAGATTCTCATAGTGTAGCATCGTCTTCTTTACCCTTTATGTCTTCCAAAAGTATTTCTGAAAGCGACGATGCTTCAAATACAAGTTTGGATTCAAAACCTTTATTTGAGAGATTGGAATCAGAAAAGATTTATCGAAAAAGAAAACGAAATCGCGTGATCTCTGATGAAGAACCAGAAYCAAAGAAGAGCCTATTTGACACTCTCCTACAAAGTACAACAAATAATAACGAAAATGAAGACAAGGATTTTCAAGAGTCAGATGAGGATTATTCTAAGTACGAACAAGATATAGAGGAGATCATCGAGGAAGATGACGATGATGACATTGGTCGTTTAAGGATATCTTCAAATATGTCTGAAGATGAAGTAAATAATGACGAAACCACTAGTCAAATGTTTGTCATCGATGAAGCTATTGAAGAAATCCCCGAAGAAGAAAAATGTGAAAAAGTAATCAAGGAAAAGCACTGGAAATCTGAAGGACGAAATAAGAGAAAGAGTAAGAAGGCAAAACACCATCATCATCACAAACGAAGACTGTCGCAATCGCCTCCTCCGTCGGCTACTATCGTACACTCACCTGATAGAGATATAATGAAGCTGAAAGTAAAACTGAACACATTGCCAGGGTATCGACATAAGGAAGATAAACATCATAGGCATGCCAAACACTATAACGGTAGCGCGTCGTCAGCATCTTCAATTGTGTCATCTCCAGGCAGATCGTCTTACAAAGAAGATGACTCAGTATTATCAGAACAATCTTGTGACAGTGTTGCTTTACCCAAAAAATCTCGTGAAGAAATTAAATTGCCAGATGAAAAGCAGCAGCATGTAGGGGATGTTCAAAAATCTCAAATGTCTCGATCTTCTTCACAGGCCGTAGTCGAATCTCCTAAGGGTGAAACTTTGGCTATGGAACCATCGCAACAAGTTCGAGCTGTACGATCCAAACCTAAACCGACCGTCGAACAGCAATCCAACAACGAACCGTCACACGGTAAAATGATAATAATGCCTCCGTCGTCAATCACAGTTAGCATAATAACGGCTGAAGAAAAGTTGAAGATGGAAAAGGACAAGACGCTCATGTTAACSGGTAATCATGACTTCGAAAACAAACGACCATCGTTGGAAATTGTACGTGTGAACGGTCCTCCYACTACCCCTCCAATAACCGTTGAAGTTCCTAAATCCAGCCCCAAGCCCAAAGAACAGCACGAAGAACAACCCGCACCATCAAGGCCGAAGACCAAGAAGCCCGTGCCGGCGGTTATTCCTATCAAATCTGCTAAACCGTCGATAACCATCATACCTCAAAGTCGAAGTCCTAGCAACAGCAACAACAATAACAACAACAATGGGAACAGCAATGGTACAAAACCTGAAGAAATTAAGACCAGTGTGACGATATCGTTGGAAAATGGATCTCACAACGACTCGGCGTTAGATTTGTCCGGTAAATCGTCCAGGAAAGACTGCGGGCCACAATATAACACAGTCAACAAAAACAATAGCAGCAGTAACAACAACAACAACAGCAACAAGGGTATATCGTCTTCACACACAAACGGTAATAGTGGCCAATACGACCCTCCAAGCATGAGGAACTTGATGACGCTCTCGGACACTGCGGTACATCTTAGAAACATGATGACTACTTCGTCGTCGTCTAGTAAGGAACAACAACAGCAGCAGGATGCGAAAAAACGGTACGGMAGCCACCACCATAATAACAACAACATCAACCATGGCGGAAACGGTTCATGTTCGCCKAAACGTCACAACGGAAACGTACCGCTTCGGATTCCTGTACCACCTAATTCCGGTTCGTTCGTCAAGTCATCCGGCGCCGCATCTCACAAACCGGGAAAAGTGTCTGTAGCATCTCGCACTTCCGACACAAAACCCAAACACGGGCCCCCCAACCAGGCCGTCCGACACATTCCAAACCCGTCGGTGCTGTTGTTTAGGCACCATCAACAGCACYTGGCGCAGTTTGCAGCAGCCGCCGCCAATGCTGTGGCCGCCAACAGCAACAAGAGACCAAACCCTCCGGTGCCGTCCGCATCCCGGATACCACCACACCCGATGCCGGCTGCCATACCACTGBACWCYATCCGGAAAATGGAGAACCTGACTAAAAACATCGAAAAAGTCGCTGCAGGGCTATCGGTCAAGGCCAACGCGCTTTACAAGTAATTTGAAAACAGTTTATATTTTATTTTACATTTTTCATCTTCTTTTTCTGTTTCTCCTGCTACTTACTTTACCTCCTGAACAATAAAAGGCATCTCTTTCCAAATAGATCACATCATCTCGATTAATTTTTATCGCCATTACTCCCCCCCCCCTCAAAAGTCCCTTTAAGATCGACGGTAGTCAATGGGTGGTTTTTGAAATTCGTTTGGTTGTTTTAGCGTGAGATTTTTGTATCTTCTTTTTTCATTTTATTCCGACAAAATAAAAACACTGTTATTAGCACATTCCTATAATATAAAACAACGTCTCCGAAGACGTGACTTGCCTGTTCCCGTACATATCGTATGTACGTGTCCGTGTCTTGATGCGTTGTTGTCCAATCGATGATCTCTGTGCGAAATAACAATAATTCCGTTACTATTTGGTCGGATTGATTTTTCAGGTTTAAATAATTCTTACGTTCCGTGACTAATATTAAATGTTTGATAACTCACGAATATCACATTATGTCGCTATTACGAAAACTGCTTTCGTGTACGCCGTCTTCAATTAAAAAAAAATACAATAAACCCAATAGTTCGTTTTATCAGGGAAGATGCCTTCACAAATAGTTTGCCTATTCTTTTTAAATGCATAACTTTTTATACCACGATTATATTTCAATGGTGTGTATTATTTATTAGGCAAAATTTCATCGAGAACGGCGGACGTGCACGCCTAGAACTCCCGAGTTGAAGTACTATAAATGCTACATTCAGTGGCAGTACCACCTACCGGTGAATTATTAGTTTTATTATTATATAACTATTATTTATTATTATTTTTATTATAATGTTTTAAGTCTATTGTGAAAAACAAAAAAACTGTTTTTTCCATTGTCGGGCTAGACTGACAATGCGCCGGGCAAATTGCAATACCCACTGAAGTTTATTTTTATTTATTTATTAATTTATTTCCTAATTTATTATTAAACCACTGCGTTTTTAAGACGACCCATTACTATTAGGAGGATKGTACAAAGTTAAATAATATTTTAATCGAGGGGGCGGGTGTGACCTCTTACATTGTAAATTTATATTATATTTTATTGTGGTTTTATCATTTAACTGGTAGATGTAGACTGAATTTAATTAAGACAATTTTTTTATGTCAATAAAAACATAAAATGACTTTTATCTTTGTAAATATTATGTATAGTACTTATAGTTAAATTAATAAAATATTGTTTTACTCGTATTATTATAATACCTAGACGGGTTAGATTAAATTATAATACTTGCTTATATTATTAAGTCATAATACTATTTGGATACAATATATTTTATGATTACTGTAGTTTTGTCGGAGATCATTTTAATAATTATTTATGTGCTGTATTTAGAATTAATTATACAATAATAATGTATTGTTGTGTGTAAATAATATTAAATACAATTGATTTTCTTTGTTATTACGACGCGTTTTATACATCGACTCTACCCGCCTTTCATTTTCCGCCTTTTCGCTTATTCCTTCTTCCAATAATCTCAAGCTCAACCTAGAACCTTGCTCACTATBTACATGTCAGTGAAAGTAACACTATCGTGGTTCCTGACTCAGTTGTGATACCACATGGAAAAAATAAGAAACTTATGAGGAAAATACAACTAATACACCAACGCGCGACGGGCGTAATTGATACAATTAAATGTCCGCATGTCAGCATATTATAACAGGCTGCTCGCCCGAGTCGAATGGACGATAAATAAATATAGTCAATTGACGAAATAAWYGTCCTACCTATATAAGTAGGTACAACCCGTGAAATATTATCATTGACTCCAACGATAAGTTTTTCCGGTACAGCGTTCTAATCTACATAATATGCACTATAGGACAACGGACGAACAAAACAGTTCGTTCTCTTTTTAGCAAACGGTGTGATGGACAGCCGACCGACGAAGAGTGAGTAATATCGCATGGGCGTGCGCACGGGGTATGCATTTGAATACCCTGCGGGCAGACGCTTGGGAGCACATGAACTAATTAATAACCAAAAGTGTAAGATGAAATGTCATGCTCATTAATTTTAGGGTCATTTATATCTGTGGGAGAGGGGCGTATTTTATCAGCCGCGTATACCCTGCAAACAAAGTCTGCGCACGTCTATGGTAATATGTATTGTTGCTTTTGGATATAATGATTTCCATACACAAATTGTATGGAAATCATGATGTCGAAAAAAACAAATCGTACTGTCAAAAAACAAAAATCACTTAGCTCATATTATAAAAACAGCTGAAAAAAAAAATTGAAAAGATCGAAAACTGTTCTTGGAAATCTTTTACAGTACMGGTAGTTAAACTGATAAAAATAAATTGTAGATGAAATATAATGAACTCGAMGATATAATATCATGTAATACACATCCGTACAGGTTGCGGCGACGATGACTRTATATGGCGTGGTATATGGTAAGTGGTAACTACAGAAAACAAAATATTTAAATACGACATAATAAATCCGACGTTAATAACGTACCTTCATGACTATACACATATATATATATATACCTACACAATAATAAAACCATTCAAACGAATCATATCATATCTGGGTCAAAAAGCGTCGGAACACTTATTGGAATGCATTTAATACGAATACGCTTCCTGTTCGAAGTGTCGCATAAAACATAATAATAAACATTATAATATCATATATATGTAGGTAYACGGATTGTTTTCGTTTATTGTATACGACACGAATGTTCGGGTCTGCTCGGGTTACGCAAGGACCATCGGTGGCGGAGTTGCTCCTYCGAATCGATAATTTTTAACGCCCATATATTGTGCGGTATATACAAAGTACCTACCATCGCCGACTTCGCTTTCGACATGATATTATATATATATATATATATTGGAAGGTTACGGCTACGGCTACGATGGCTGACCGATTTCAAAATATAATTTTAATTCTCTAAATACTTATCGATTGAAATCTGACGAGTGTCTGAAAAAAATATYGAAGGTGTATTGGTCAGACACACGTCTGGGTAAGAGAGGTACATGATCAAAAGCTGTTAGAAACAGAAACAGTGGCCTCTGGTAAATATTATAATATTGTCTACACAAAACAGGTAATTAAGTTTTTATTTGTTTAAATCATCCTTCATATTTATAATTTGGGTTAAGAGATATTAGTACCTGGTATTACTTCGCAGTTTTTAAGTAAACGACGGACTTAAGACAAACTAATAATTTCTGTACGTACAGTTTTTTATTTTAAGACATTTTTTTTAGAATTTTTTTTATGAAACACAATACTACAAGTGTTTCGGTTCAACGTTAATTTCTTCTGATAACTTTCTACTTTAAGTAATACAATTGGACTCATTTTTATTAAACAAGTTTTGGGCGATCGACCTTTGCCATCGCGGGTAAACCTCRATGAACAGACAATTAAATAATATCATAATTTATAACTTTATAAGTAGGGCTCGGATTTCAATGCATTTGCATCTTTTTTTGGGGATATCTTACGCGATGCTTTCCAAGCTACAAATATGTTTCAAGTATACTTCGCAATATAACCACAATAATTTTTTGGAGTATTTTTTTGCATTTTTAGCGGATTTCATCATTTTTAGTGTATTTTTTGACGGTTTTAATGCAGTTTTTAATTTTTTAGTACATTTTTGACCTATTTGTCGTATTATGATGACTAAAAAAACTTACCTCATTGAAATATAAGTACTACATAGTAATATAGTACTACGTAATAAAAATTATTTTCATCTTGAACTATTTGAACTAATTTAACATTAGGTTTTCCGGTTTTTACAACCTTTATGTCACACCATCCAATTAGCCGATATTATTGCACMCMAYTAAAYTTTTATYGGATTATTTTCTTATCGAGCGATAATATTATATCGGTGGTGTGCGTTTAATAAATAATGCATTTTTTGATATTTTTAGGGCATTTTTTAGAGTTTTAGGTCATAAATGCATTTTTTTGATATTTTGATTTCGAAAACCAATGACATAGACGTCCATGCATAATTTAACTTTTGATCCACTCCCATTGTCCCATTCATAATATTTAGTATTTACCTATGTATAGGTTATAGGTATATCGTATATGACAATATATAGATGACATGTCCTACTGTGTAGTTTGTTCATCAATAATTTTAATRATTTATATACAATTCTATGATTTGGTCTTTGTGGCGATTGAATCGGTGATTGGCTGTTCGCCTGTTCCGATCCTTTTATGATGCGAAAAGGTCCTAAAAATAGATTAATGTTTGTCGTAAAGTCTCACAATGGCGAGGACCATAGTACACATAAAAAGTTACGGATATAACTAAGAACATTATACCGGTAATAAGCCCACGGTCTCGCAATGTTTATTAAATTTCGAATGGAACATAAAAAGTATCAGCTATTCAAATATTTGTGTACTGCGCATAAAGTGTTGCTAAAATTATAAACAATTTTAACAAATAAATATTTTTTCATCTATTAGAATTATTGATATAAGTAGTAAATTAAAAAAAAAACCAGTTTGAAGTAGTGTCAATGGACGCACCCTTCACTCAAGCCTCCAAACCTTGTTAAAAAATCTCAGATTTACTTATTGATTTATTATATTACAGATTGTAAATACATTTATTTAAAAAAAAAAAAAAAGTAGTAAGTAAATTTAGTTTTGATACAAAACTAAGCCCCCACGGCTGATAGTGTTTTAGTTAATATATAAAATCATGATCTACTCATAAGGTAGAAAACAATAGGGCGTATACTGTACACGTAAACTAACTTATAATCATTATTTCATTAATTTCATTCTACAACAAACAAGACGTAATGATAGTCAGTGTTGGGAATTATTTTCAGTGGAGTGTGGAAGTTATTATTGCTGCAATTTCTTGGATTTTATTTTGAATTAATGAAAAACTATATGTTCAATATAGAGGTATTATCAAATAAAGAAGAATTTTCCACATTTTCGATTTTACCTCTATATATAGGTACTTTAATAATAGTACCAAAGTGAACTGAAAAAATTTGAACCTTAAAATTTCTAAGCCAACGTTAACGCCAAAAAAAAGAAAAATTGATAAGTCTTAGGGAGTTTTCATGATACTACGTAGATGCGAAATATTTTCAAAATCGCATCATAAAATCGATGTAGAACATACATTCCTAAATTGGGCGATTGATAGTTGGCGATGACGATAAATCTGCATCACTATTCCATTATCCGTAGAGAAAGCTATATACATCTGGAAAATGCTCTTAACGAATTCTAAAGTGTGCACGTAATATTACGTCTTCATATTTATTTTATATTAAACATGCTGTGGTGGTGTTCCAAAATACATGCCATCAGATCGACCCGTAATTAATAACAATGTTATATATTTTTTCGCTTGTTTTCACTGTGATAAAACAAAGTAATTAACGAATATCGCCGAGCGGTTCYGCGTTGACCGTTGTTGGAAATAGAGGATTTTCCTCATCGTCTTAACCAAAATGTTCGAATTGTACTCAATGTTTCAATCCGGTCAATTACGTTTATTATACATCACAACGCATCTAATTCAAAAATAAACGTAAATACATATTTTTATGTCATTATTTTTTAAATAGCAACGAGAAAATGTTTAAAATTTAAATTGTAATTACCCAATCATTAATATTGAACGGAGAATTCATGTTTGTTTGTATTGTAGTAAAATATTTAAACCAAACTGTTGAATTTATCATATTGTAATTATTGGTGTATTGCCGCCATTTGCTGCAGCTTTCCTCGAGTTYAGTTTTGATAATTTATTATGATCGTTATTAAAGTGGTGATGTACGCGACCCGCAGCAATAACATTAATATCAATATAATATTACATATATAGTCAACAACTCGTAAGCGATGCGGATGTAACGTCGCAGGTTTGTCCACTATAAATATAATTGTCGTAGAAATCCATACGAATTTGTATCGCAATTGGTAATTTTCAGGACACGAGAAATATTCCTGCGATTTGATTTATTTATGGAGTGGTGAGTATTTTCTCTTCACCAAATTCGACGCCAAGGAGGTGGTGACTATAATATAAAGTTTAACGTACTAGCTGTATGTATAGCTACATAAATTTGTRCAGTATAGTTATATTAATTCTATGACGGAAAAATATKTTATCGTCCTTGAATTTA